TTATTATTCCATTTATATAAAGTACCTAGAGAAGTCAAATTCATAGAGACAGAAAGAATGATGGGTGCCAGGGGCCGGGGGTAGTGGGAAATTTAGAGTTGTTGTTGAATGGGTATAAAGTTTCAGTTTTGCAAAATGAAAAGAGTTCTGAAGATTGGTTGTACAACAATGTGAATGTACTTAACACTACTGCACATTTAAAGATGGCTAAGATGGTAAATTTTAAAGGTGTGTATGTGTATTTTTACTACAATTGTTTTAAAATTTAAGTTTTTAAATTATTCCAAGTATTCTAGTATGCATCCAAGATTAAGAGATAGTTATTTCTGTCAAAAACTAAGAAGGATCTGAACATTTACTTGATTTACAAACTCACAAGTCAGACTGTCACAGTCTCACAGACTGTGAGACAAGGACCTGACTCTGAGACAAGAGACTTTATTCTAGCAATAGTAATAGCCAGAGTGTCAGCATTTGCACTGTTTTTTTGGCACTCCAATCCCATAGGATGATGTGGAAGGCCAAATGATGTGTGCATTGATAGTGGGCTGCATTGCAGGAGTAGAACCCTGAGCTTAGGGAACCTGCATCTTTTATAGTGGGCAGTGGCAACAAAACTACTGACCATTTACCTCACTATCTTGAGTGAGCCATAAACAAATCTCCCCTGCTCCGGGGGAGACATTATCTCATCTTCCAAAGCTGTTTCCTAACAAGCATCTTGTCTTTTCAAAAAAAATCTTTTTATTGAGGTACAATTTACATAAAGTAAGGTGCACAGATTTTAAGTGTAAATTTAAGCTTTAACAAATGTACATACCCTTGTAAATACTGCCTATTCAAGATGTTAAACACTTTACCCAAGAAAATTCCCTTATGTTTCTTTCCATTCATTCATTCCCCCAAAAGGATACAATCACTGGTCTGATTTCTACCACCATATGTTAGTTTTGCCTATTCTTAACTTTGTATAAGTGAAATCATACTGTACTTACTCTTGTATCTGGCTTTTTTTTTTCATTCAACATGTTTTTTAAAAAGTTGTAACTTATAATAAAGAGTATTATGTATTCACTATTGCTTATAAATTGTGTGGTACAAATCCTTTATACTAGTAAAAGTTTCTTTCTTTCTGGAAAGCCAGCTGTTAAACATTTATTGACACACCACTCACTGAAGGGATGCAGCCCCAGAACTGGCCTTTTTCTTCTGAAGTTGACTGGCTTTGAATTAAAATGCTGCATCAGCTAAGGAAAGTTGTTTTTTCTCATTCCCCACTTATTCTGTGTATCTACTCCCTGAGACTTGATGCTGTTGGGAAACAATTCTCCATGTTTTCCCTTTTTTGTTGCACATCTGTGAGCAGAGATGTTGGATGCCTTTGCTCTATCTTTTCAAAAATAGTGGCCATGATCATGCCTCGTACTTCAGCCTGGTCAACAGAGTAAGACACTGACTCAAAAAATACAAAATACAAAAGACAAAAGCCAGATTAGAAGCCTTTGGTAGCTGGCACCATACTTCCACAGGCAGTCTAATGGAGGCATAGACACTGGTCCCCATCTACCAGTTGTGTGCTATTTGTATTGTCTTCAGTTGTATGAAGAACTACTCTTGAGTATCTAATGGACTTGGTATCAGTTGTTAAAATTAATATCATTTATCTGACATTTTTCTTTTTTCTTTTTATTTGAATTTTTTGAATTGGGGGTCTTACTATGTTGCCCAGGCTGGAGTACAGTGACATGCTCACAGCTCACCACAGACTTGACCTCCTGAGTTCAGGCGAATCTCCCGCCTCAGCATCCCAAGTAACTGGAACTACAAGCATGTGCTGCCACCCCCCGCTAATTATTTTATTTTTTTGTAGAGTTGAGGGCTTGCTATGTTGCCCAGGTTGGTCTGGAACTCCTGGGCTCAAGCAATCCTCCTGCATTGGCCTCTCAAAGTGCTGGGATTACAGGTATGAGCCACTGTGACCAGCCAGTTTCTCCAACATATCCCAAGGCTGATAAATGAAGTCATTGTACACACACGGATCTGTTTTGGGAGACTCTATTCTTTTCCATTGATCTATTTTTCTGTCCAGAGCCTAATGCTACACTGCATTAATTACAGAAAACGTATGATAAATGTTGATACCTGATAGTGTAAGCCCACCAATGTTGTTCTTCATCACAACTTTATCAACACACATGAGAGATTAAGGAATAAGATTTATTGGGGAAACATAAGCTAAGAAAGAGAAGGCACAGGACCACAACTTCTCTATACCCTTTGAACATCAGCATCAGAGCCTGGGTGAAGCAGGAGACGGACCACACCTCGCCCCATGTTTTTCTCCCTTCTTTTTTTTTTGAGTTGGAGTCTCACTCCATCGCCCAGGCTGGAGTGCAGTGGCACACTCAAGGCCACCACAACCTCAACCTGCTGGGCTCGGCGATCCTTCCACCTCAGCCTTCCAAGTAGCCAGAACTTCAGGTGCCAGCTATCACGCCTGGTTAATTTTTTGATTTATTGTAGAGATGAAGTCTCGCCAAGCTGCCCGGGTTGGTCTCAAACCCACGGGCTCAGGCAATCCACTTGCCTCAGACTCCCAAACTGCTGGGATTACAGGCTGAGTCACCGAGTCAGGCCTTTTCTCCCTTCTTAAAAGGCAAGGGTGCCTGAGCACGCGGTTTGAGACCAGCCCAGGAAACTTAGCGAGACCTCGTCTTTACACTAAATAAAAAAGCCGGGTTCGGTGGCTCAGCCTGTAATCCCGCACCTTTGGGAGGCTGAGGTGAGTGGATTGCCTGAGCCCGCGGGTTCGAGACCTGCCTGGGCAGCAAGACCTCATCTCTACAATAAATCAAAAAAATCAGCCGAGCGTGGTAGTGCATGCCTGTAATTCCGGCTACTTGGAAGGTTGAGGCGGAAGGATCGCCGGAGCCCAGCAGGTCGAGGCTGCGGTGGCCGGGAGCAGCCACTGCACTCCAGTCTGGGCGACAGAGTGAGACTCCACCTCAAACAAAACAAAACAAAACAAAACAAACAAACTACACTAAATAAAAAAACTAGCTGGGCATGGTAGCGTATGCCTGGAGTTCCAGCTACTTGGAAGGCTGAGACGGAAGGATTGCTGGAGCCCAGTAGGTCGACGCTGGGGTGGCCGTGAGCATGCCACTGCACTCCAACATAGGTGACAGAGTGTGATGCCAACTAAAAAAAAACAAAAAGGCAAGGATAAGGGCATCCATGTTGGTGAGGGAACAAACTGACTATACCGGTAGGAAACAATCTGGCTTTAGTTGTCAGATCTTCACAGTAGTTGCATGAGAGAGCCAGGTTCTAAACACTGCTCACCAGGTGGAGAAAGCCACTGGGAAGTTAAGCTCATGGGAATTCATTCCCACTGAAGAATGTGGGAGTTCAAGGTCCCAGATACCTCCTCATCTAGTCTACTCAAAGTGAGCTCTACACATCACCTTTGGAAAATTCTGGTCATTGCACACAGTTGTTATTATGGATGAACATTTTTGTTACATTTTCTAACTGATTTTTACTGTTAAATAGTAAGAATCTTACTGTTAAATAGTACGTAACTGTGTCTATTTTATGTCAAGCCAACTTGTAGACCTTTTTCTTTTTTATTTTTACTTTTAACAGCTTTCAGCTGGTCAAATTTTATGGGCAGATTTGAATTTTATAAGTAAACAATATTCTTGTCTAGCAAAATAATAGTATCTATACTTTCCAGTGATTATGTTTCAAAAATTTTTATCTTGTTTTAATCCCACCCCTTGAATCTGGGCTGGTTTTGTGATTTGCTTTAATCAACAGAATGTGGTAGAAGTAACATTGAACCTGTCTCATGATGAGGTCTTCAGAGATCACAGCGTTTGCTCTTAAAATCCTGGCACCATGTGACCAAGCCTGGATCAATCTACTGGAGGTTGAGAGATCAAGAAGACAAGGAAAACTTAGTTGTCCAGTCTTAGATCATCACAAAACATCCAGGCCCAACTGAGCCATCAGGTGACTCTCATCAGATGCATATGCAAAATTAATGTAAGTTCGGGTAGCATGTCCCACAGCAGCACTGCCCAGCTAAGCCCAACTCAACTTGCCAACCAGAACATCATAAGCTAAATAAATTTGTATTGAGAGCTACTAAATTGTGTATGTTGTGAGGCAAAAGCTGATAAACACATTTAGGATAAATTATACATAAGTCAGATGTTACGCTCTTATTAAACCATTGGATTTGACTTGTTAATATTTATTTAGGACGTTTGCATCTACATTTGTAAATGACATTGGCTTGTTAACACTTTTCACTGACTTTTGAGCTAGACTAACTTCTGTTTTTTCCATGTTACTTTGCTACGAAAGAAAGGCAAATAATACTATGCAGTGGGAAGATAGTCCTGTTAGCATTACTCATTTAAAAAGCTAAATGTGGTAGGCAAGAGTTTCTCTTGGCCAAAGAGGAGTATTGCTTGTGACACTTCCACCAAGGCTGAGTGCTGATTTCTGTCATGAGGAAACACTGCACCCATTCTAGACCCCAAAAGGCTCATGGAATAGTGTTTACCCCGGATTTTTACCTCTGACCTACCCTTTTACCACATTAATATTGTCTTATTAATTGTAATCTCATCACGATGGCACTTTTATCTCATAGAGCAGCTCTCTGTCCATATCAGCTATAAGAAATATCTCTCACACCAGATTTCTGACCATGCCTCCCAGTTTACCTATAAGTGTTGCACTCTTCCAAGTCATTTATGTCTGCAACTATCATGCAAAAGATAGTCAAGGAGTATATTTCTTGTATTTTACACCTTACCACTATTGAATTTACATGAAACTCACTATTTGACCCCTAATCTCCCATTTAAGTAGCAATTACAGATGTCACCTGATAAACAGGGTCCAATAAGGAAACAGAAACCATTCAGTGATTTAAACACCAGATTTTTAGACACAAAGAATTATGAAACTTCTAAAAGAGTAACTACATTTTTCCATCTTTATTGAGGTATAAATAACAAAAATTGTACACATTATCAGATAACTTTAACAAACTGAGATGGCACACAAGAAATCGTAGCCAAGGAAGGGTAAACATGGAAAGGTTTTAGGCCTCAACAAAGTCCCCAAGGTTAGGGCTCAGACCTCACTGAAGATGGTATAGCTACTACCCACTAGATGGCAGAGAAGTTATCTGTTTTTCCTCAATCAGCTGAAGAGCTGGTCCATAGTTACTGAGGAAGAAGGAAACAACATTCCAAGATGTAGGTGAATCACAAGCAAGCTCCAACTGGTGGCAGAGTTATGGTCATGAAAGAAGGTGTACTGGTGCCATTGGCATTGATTTTGGGAACAGATAAGCCACAGCCTGTGGCCAGTACATGTATGTAGTGATGGAATGGGTATGCCGACACAGGTAGGAGGACTGGAGTGTGCAGTGGACATGGGCAGCGATATGTGAACATTTTAATAATTCTAGATCATTGTTAATGGTGCCATGTTATTCCAACATATGGGATACCCTAATTCACTCAATCTCTTATACACGGACCTTTAAGTTGTTCACACTTTCCATTATTACAAACATTCTTGGAACATACTGCTTTATAATACCATTTTTCTCACTTGTGTAATTATATTCTAAAAGTACTTTCTGGGAAGTAGGATCTTTGGCTCAAAGACAATGCACATCATGCATTTGGTAGATATAGACAAGATCCTCTCCAGCAACTCTGTACCTGTTTTCTTTCCCACCAAATTATGTAAGAATGCTCATTTTCCCATTTCCTGCTGACACAGAATTTTTAAATCTTTCACTATAGTCCACCTGATCAGTAAGAAAATGACACCTAAGGGATGGTTCTATTTGCATTTGAATGGGTGTTCTGTATATAAACCGTAACTAGAAGGAAAATGTAATGCAAGAAAACCATGATTAAAACATGATCTAAATGAAGAAACCTATAAATCTACTAAAAAAGAGACATCGTTTTTGAAGATTAAAAAAGCTATTGTGAAGATATAATCTCCTCCCAAATGTGTCTATAATCCCAAATTAAAAAACAATTTTGGAAAGAAATAGAAAGAACATACTCTAAAAACCCATTGTTATACAGAACTGCTAAGAAGATTGCATCAGTCTGCTTCTGATGATGAACACTGTTGGTCTTCTACAAGTTGTTTTTGCCCACTTCAGTAAATGTTCGTTTTCTTCGATTAATTTTTGGAAACTAATTACACAATATCTAATCTAGTTCAATTTTAAATTGCATTTAAGGTGTGAGTTGGTAAACCTTTCCCGCTGTCACACATAATAGAGTTTCTCTACTGAATCAGATTTCTTATATTACACTTACATGGGTTACACTTTTGGCAATGTTTGACCAAAGGCAGATTATCTGGAGTGCTTCTCTTTTGTGAACATACCAATGACTAAAGATTCCCACTGAAGAAGTCCCGCCTGGACCATTTCAGATGGCTGCACTACCACATCAAGCCTTAAATATGTAAAAGTTGGGGGGGGAATGAAAAAGTTTTGAATTCTGAATTATAATGTTACTTTCCTATGTGGACTCCACTGACTATAACATGTTTCTGTTAAATCCTTCTGTACTCATCAGGATAGCCTAGGCAATTCTGTAGTAACAAATAAGCCACTGAAAATCTCAGTGGTGAGATATAACAAATGTTTATTTCTTACTAAAAAAAAAAGTTCAATATAGGTCAGACAGTCACTTTCTATCAACCTATTCTGGAACAGGCAGCATCCGAGGTTACCTTGGCACAGAAACAGAAGCCTAGAAGACATCATAAGGTGTTTTTAAGGGCCACACCTGAAAGTGGCTTATATCACTTTTGCTCACGCTCCATTGGCTGAACTCAGTCACAGGGGCACACTCTTAACTGCGAGGGTTGCTGCTAAAGTCTTCTTATGTGCCAGGAAGTGAAACCAGTGTGATGAACACATGGCATTGTCTTGGCCACACCCTTCAATACCACTTCTATAGAACTTCTCTTCTGTATGGAGAATCTAATGGGTTTGAAAACCTGAGTATGAACTAATCTCCTTCCACACCAATAGCACAAGTTTCATTTCTGCCAACAGAAGTTCTTGAATGTTCTTTATACAGAGAGTATCTTTCTAGTGGGGACTCTCTAAAATACCTAAAGACTGGTTGGACTGACACCTTACCGTACTCATTCCAATTAGAATTTCCTTCCTGGGCACATCTTGTAATGGAACTTTGACTTAGTCTAACTACTGCCACTGCCACAGACCACTCATTTGTCAAGAATCACTTACTTTGCCACTGCAGCATACGGCAGTTGAGGGGAGCTTCACAGAAGTTCTTGAGATCCACAGTAGTCACCTGGCATACTCCAGTGCTGTGGGCTGACATCACAGATGGTAACGTCCCTATTTTCTGCTCCCCCAACCCTCCCAAGGCTGACAGACTCTGACTTACTACATTTATGTTTCTGTCCTCTCATGCAGTCTTGGATGAGTAAGAAGGTCTAAGCTACAACTAAAACCCTTGTCATGCTCATGGCATGTGTATTGTGTCTCATCTGTATGCACTCTCTGGTGGGCAAGAAGATATGAATTACGACTGAAGCCCTTCCCACACTCTTTACACTTATAGGGCCTCTCTCCTGTGTGGACTCTGAGATGAACGTGAAGATCTGAATTCCGACTGAAGCCCTTACCACACTCATCACATTTATAGGGTTTTTCTCTGGTGTGATCTCTTTGATGCAAGTGAAAATATGAGCTGTAACTAAAGCCCTTACCGCACACTTCGCATTTATAAGGTTTCTCTCCTGTGTGAACTCTCTGATGAGTGTGAAGAACCGAACTGTACGCAAAATCCTTTCCACACACGTCACATTTGTAGGGCTTCTCCCCTGTGTGGACTCTCTGGTGAATGTGAAGGTGTGTGCTTTGACTGAAGCCCTTTCCACACTCACCACACCTATATGGCTTCTCACCTGTGTGCAACCTCCGGTGGACTTGAAGGACGGAGCTTGAACCGAAGCACTTGCTACACTCACTGCATTTGTAGGGCTTCTCTCCAGTGTGGACTCTCTGATGGACGAGAAGATTGGAGCTTTGATCAAAGCCCTTCCCACACTCTTCACACTTATAGGGCTTTTTCCCCGTGTGTACTCCCTGATGAATACAAAGCAGTGACCTAAATCCAAACCCCTTCCCACACACATTGCACTTGTAGGGCATCTCTCCCGTGTGGACTCGATGATGGTTGTGAAGAGAGGAGTTGCGCCTGAAGCCCTTGCCACACTCCTTACATTTGTAGGGTTTGTCTCCAGAGGGGACTTTCTGATATCTGGGATGGTCTGAACTCCGTTTGCAGCCTGTAGCCCATGTGTGGCATTCATAAGACATCTCATCTGAATGGGCTTCATAAGGAACAACAAGATCTGGGCTCTGACCAAAGTCATTTCTGTGCTGGTCACATGTATAAGATTTTTCTCCTATGTGAGCGCTGTGCTGAACACAAGGATTTCCATCACCTCTAAAGCCCATCCCACAGTTTTTACATTTGAAAGGTGGTGGCACGGCATGAGTCATATTATGTTGTTCAACTGCTGACTTCATACCCGAGTTTTCCCCACAGTTGATGCATCTACAGGGTTCCTCTCCTTTATCTTCATGGGAATTGCTGTGATCAAGTGAGTTCCAACTGACACTGTCATCACACTGGGCACATTCATACAATTTCTCTCCCATATGAATTCTCTGATAACTTCCCTGAGAATTCAGGGGCATAGGCACTATGGCTTTCTTCGAGAATTCTGGAGTAAAGACCTGAGTCAGGTCTTTCCAGGTTGTGACATCTTGATTTTCTAAATTAATGGCACTTACTGCATAGTTTTCATTTCCAGAAATCTGAAGAGAGACCCTTACCCACTCTTCACATGGGGGACACTCTCCTTGAAGATTCATGACATAATCCTGACCTGCAGTTAGTTTACAGATCTTTTGTTTCCAAATCTGCCAGCAGTGGAACACTTCTTGTGAGAGAATTTTCAACCCTTTTTCCTGAAGATTAAAAATGTTGGTTTTAATCCCATCTCCTATGAAAAGAAAGAGAATTTGGCTCAGAGAACAAGTAAATCATTTGTCCAAAAGTTTTGATAAAATGGCGTAGGGTGGGGTGGGAAGTTTTCCCTAGCTTCTATTCACATGTGAAACAATAAAAATCCACCCAAGTAATTCTAACAGTGTAAGCTGCCAATTAGAAATCAAATGTTGCAGAGAAATTAAAAGACATCTTGGGAAGAATTCATAAAGAAAGAAACTCACCTCCATGCTATAAGAATAGTTGATAAAAAGTCTTTAATCAGTTTTCTACAAAACATATAGGAAAGGCTTCCATATGATTTATGTAGTTTACATATATATGTATATATTATATATATATATATATACACACACACACACATAAATAATACACATTAATGGAGTGTTATATGTTGGACATGGTAAGAGACACAAAGGGTCACAGGTACCTTCCAAGATACCATGTAAAGGTTTCAGAAACAAGCCACAAGTCCTATCTTTTAATAATGTTCCTTTCTTCACATTACTGTCATATGGGGTAGGACTATCATGTACGTTTGTGTACAATCTGCACAACTGTCCATGGTAGGCTCAAAGCAGCAGTGGGGATTGAAATGGGTATCATATTGTGAAACATGGTCCTGGGGTTGTTGGGGATGCATAGGCACCCTTTGAGACAAGCTTTAAGAGACATCCTTCTTTTCCCCACTTGAGGTTCTCTGTCTTCATGAAAAGATAAAGTCCACTAGGATCCTACAGTTCATCTCCTTAACTTCTCCCCTTTTAAGTTATTGCAGAATCTCAAACAGTCATGACTGTGGGAATGGGGGATGGGATATGACAGTGTCGGTGGCCTGGCACCCAGGGAAGCAAGATTGTGCCGTAATAAATGGGAGGGAGGGCTGAGGCAGAAAAGGATAATCACATCATTGGACCCTAAGGTGGACTTCAAAATGGCATGAATATCATAGTCAAGTCTATTTGGATACTGCTGCTGGTTTCAATAGTTTTCAGGTTATTTTATTGAAAGTGTCTTCACTTATACTGTGATATCAGGGAGAGAGAGACCTTGAGCTCCCCAGAATGGTCTTAAAGTGGTGGTTTCTCAATTGTTTTGATTGTAACCCACAGTAAAGAGGCATTTACACTGTGACTCAGGAAACACAGACAAGGACATAGACACAGACTGCTGAATAAAACAGAAGTTTTTATCAAAAGATACTTACTTTACTGTGTACAATGTACTCTCATAAATTATTTTGTGTTCTATTCATCTATTTTGCTTTTTAAAAACTGTTGGTTATAATGTAGTAACTCAATTTCAGGACTTACCAATGGGGTTGTCTCCCATGGTTTGAGAAACAGCTGCGGGATACACAGATTTAGGCAAGGGGGCCCTGTGTCTATAGTTTAGACATAGCGACATTTCAGTTTTCCATGGTTATTTATTGAAAGCACAGGATCTAGAGCTGGATTCGTAGGGCTCAAATCCTATTTCTCCTTACAAGCTGTGACTTATCCACTCTATGCCTCAGTTGTTTCATTTGTAAAAGGGAGAACATAATCACACCTTCCTCAGAAACTAAACTAAGGCAAAACATGACAGTATATGAACTTCTGAGAAACTGAAAGTATTTAACTTATCAAAAAGTAAGCAAATAAGCTGACACTTAGATTACCCTTATGACACCCCAAGTACTATAGTAACTGCCAACCAAACCAAAGTTCTCATTTGGTTCCTTTAACACTAGTTTGTCCAGACCATTGGGTTTTCTCCAGAGGCCACCAAGGGATCAAGGATCCTGGTGATGTGTGAAATTTATCAATCCCATTCTGAGAAATATGAGGAAAGAATGAGAGTCTAAATGTGTGAGGAGGGAAGAGAGAGCTCAGCAACGGAGTTCTGCAGGCCAGAGGGTAGAGGGTTTTGGGAGAGCTTCCCTGTGCACCGCTTTACAAGGGGCCACACACTCATATTGATCTGTAAAAGCTCATTAACTGCAGGGTTCTCACCTGCACATGAATCTCTTAGGAGTTTTCTCTCCATTGGCCAAAGTTCCTCTTTGTACCCCGACTGGAATATTCTATTTGGTTTGAAGCTGGTGATTTGAGGAGTCAGGTCCAGTGGTCTGATGCTCAGTTACTCACCCACTGAGACAAGGTTCCTGAAGTTCTCCAGCATCACATCTTGGTACAGGCTTATCTGGGCCTTGTCCAACAGTGCCAGCTCTTCCTTGGTGAAGATCACAGCCACGTCCTTGAATGTCACACTTTCCTAAAACGTCAGTCACATGCTACATCAATCATCCATACAAATGGGCTGCTCTAACAAAATACCAGAGAATAGGACACTTAAACAACAGACATTTTATATCTTGCAGTTCTGGGGGCTGGGAAGTTCAAGATAAAGTGCCAGTGAGATGGGTTTCACTCTGAGGGCTCTTCTCTTGGCTTGTAGACAGCTGCTCTCTTATTGTGTCCTTATATGGCAGAGAGAACTGAGTGAGCTCTTGTGTGTGTCTTTTCCTATAAGGACACTAATCTTTTTGGAGCAGGGTCCCACCCTTATGATCTCATTTAACTTACATTGCCCCCGCGAAGGCCCTATCTCCAAATACTCATGTTGGGGGTTGGGGCTTCAACATAGGAATTTGAGGGGTACACAAATATTCAGTCAACAACTTGACCACTGGAAGGAAAGCAAAGTTGCAAGCTGTGTCAGTCACTACGTTATTGTTTCTCTGCTCCAAATGGTCACTTTTAAAACACAATTTGTAAGGTTGGAGCTGGCACTCTGTAAATCATATTTCACTTCTAGTTTGCCAGTTAACTCTGTATTAGGCTCTGACACTGAGGGGCACCAGAGCATCTGCAAGACGAGGGAGGAAGAAAGGACTTGCTCTTTTCAGTTTGCTTCTCGTTCTTGTATCACCCCAGTAATACTATTTAACCTGGCAGTAGCAATTCCTTTCCTTAGCAATAGCTGACTCCACTTTGCAGTTGTTATTGTTGTTGTTATTGCTGTTGTTGTTGTTGTTTGAGTCAGAGTCTCACTCTGTTGCCCAGGCTGAAGTGCAGGGGCACACTCATGACTACCACAGCTTTGACCTGCTGGGTTCAGGCAATGTTTCTGCCTCAGCCTCCCGAGTAGCTAGGACTACAGGCATGAACCACCAAGCCCAGCTAATTTGTGATTGATTGTACAAATGAGGTCTCACCAAGTTGCCCAGGCTGGTCTCGAACCCCTGGGCTCAGGCAATCCTCTAGCCTCTGCCTTCCAAAGTACTGGGATTACAGGTGTGAGCCACCATGCGGGGCCACTTAACAATTTTCCAACACTTACAGAACCAGGTTCATTGTGCCCCACCTCAGAACACCAACACCAGCCAGCCAGTGTCCCTTCATCAGAAGTCTAGGTTCACAGCACACAGGGCTTCCTTTCTGAGTTCAACAATAACAACCAGCACTCTATACTCATGAGTCTCAGTTTCAACTCCAGAGGGCCCTTCTTTAAAGTTTCTTATTCCTATTTTATTATGATTATTTACTGAGTCAGGGTCTCACTCTGTCGCTCGGGCTGGAATGCAGTGGCACTACTGCAGCTTTCTGCAGACTCGGCCTCCTGGGTTCAGCCAATCTTCCTGCCTCAGCCTCCCGAGTACCTGGGACTACAGGAGTACACCACCATACCTGGCGAACTTTTTAATTTTATTGTAGAGGCAAGTGTTGGAGACTACTGCCCTGCTTGAACTTTGCTGAAAGCATGCTTGGCTACGTGCAAAGGCATAATCAGCCAAGAATGCTTATGATGACAAAAGTCAGATAGGCATGCATGCTAAGGCAAGTTCTTAAGTGCAGTGTCCTTTGTGTTAAACTAAGTAAAGGAGTTATGTATTAACCGCATTGTTCTGCAAGTAGTTGCATTATGTCCTGTAAACAGTCACATTTCATTGCCTATGGTTATAACAAGAAAGTTTCCTGTACCTTGTTTCTGAATGCTTGCTTAAACATGTCATTTGTACTAATAAACGTGTGGTGGGTAAGAGACGTGGGGCCTCTGTCCTATGAGGCCAAGTGCCCCCTGGTTCTCCCACTTCTAAATTCTAAAAGGTGTCTTGTGAATTGTGTTATACCACACCGTTCCTCTTCCAGGTTTCTTAATTACCCTGCCGCGCTGGATGCAGCAGATAAAGTCTTGCTATGTTGCCAAGGCTTGTCTCAAACTCCTGGGCTCAAGCAGTCCTCCCACCTTGGCCTCCCAAAGAACTGGGATTACAGACCTGAGTCACCACACCTGGTCTAAATTCCTAATAATTCAGTCTCTTCTCTCCGTTTCCTCAACCAGGGTTGTAGCTACTTCTTATAGTTGCTACTTCCCTGATACTACAGAGTTTTTTCTTTAGTCTATTTCTTTAGTCTGTCAACAACTCAATACCCACTTACAATTCTTTATATTAAATTTTCTCTCCTTAAACACCTAGTGTAGTTTTGGTCTCCAGAATGGACCCTTTCTAATACAAAAGAAATGAGGAACACAGAGGAAATTCAAAGCCATGAAGCTGTGAGTGGGCCGAGCTTCTCGTCTGTCCTCTGCATTGCCTGTTTCACCCTGTTAATGTCCATAGTCACACAAAGACTATTACAATAAACTTCCATGCACATATCTGGGTGCTTACAAGACTGTTTCTACAGAATAAAAGCCAAATCAAAGATTACTGAATTACTTGGATATGCACATGTTATAATTGAATTCACACCATCAAAACTGTCCTCTGAAGAGGTTGTGCTGATATATAAGCTCAGTAGTGTCACAAAGTTCATTTCCCATCACACCCCAAGACTTGATATTTTCACTTTTTATGGAAGATTAATCTATTTCTTTTTTGTGTGTGTGTGTTGGAGTCTCACTCGGTCGCCCAGACTGGAGTGCAGTGGCCGCTCCCGGCCACCACAACCTCGATCTGCTGGGCTCCGCGATCCTTCCGCCTCAGCCTTCCGAATAGCCGGAATTACAGGTGCACGCTACCACGCCCGGCTAATTTTTTGATTTATTGTAGAGATGAGGTCTCACTGCCCAGGCGGGTCTCGAACCCACGGGCTCAGGCAATCCACTCACCTCAGCCTCCCAAAGGCGCGGGATTACAGGCTGAGCCACCGAGCCTGGCTTGATTAATCTATTTCTATCAGGGTAAAAGGAACTGAGAAAACAAGATCACTAAAAGCATTAGTTCTTGGATTCAAAAAACAGAAAAGGTAAAAGAGAAATTATTTGAACAATTGGACATACATGGAAATCAACTAAGTATTAAAATAGTGATATCAAAAAAAGAAGGCAAAAATAGTGCTGTCAATGTGAAACTTCCTGACTGTGTTAACAGTAATGTAGACAAAAACTGGAGTATTTAGAAATGAATTATAATGGTGCCTGCAATTTACTCTCAACTGGGTCAGCAAAATAAAATATAGATCCTTATGTGTATATATATGTATATTATGCATATGTTTATGTGTGATTGTTAACAACTGGCGAGTTTGGGTAAAGCTTATACTCTATTCTTTCAATTGTCCCATAAATTGAAGTACAATGCTAAGGGGAAAAATAATCTGGGAAAAATAATCTTGGTCCCTGACCAAGAAACCCATTCTTATATAAAATTCTTCTATTGCTGCAGGTGTCACACTGCTCAGAGTTGAGTGTTTACAGATATGTCCTCTCAGTAGGCTCTGCACCTCTGAAGCAGAGCTTCCAAACCAAAGTTGCAAGGAGTCCCAAAGGACTTCACAAAGAATGTGTTACTAACAGTTGTTCAATTGCAAAACCTGATAATGATTAAAAACAAAGGCTAGAAAGCTGGCACTGTTCCTGTAAGGGCACCCCTCGCCACCCCCACTCCCAGTAGAGCTGCTGTGTGCCTTCTTCAGTGGGAGGCAATGCAATGGAGTTGGAGCTTGTCATTCAAGAAATGAAGTCACCTTGCAGCCCACTTGGGGCACTCCATGACAGGGAGAAGGGGTCAGGAATGGAGGTTCACCCAGCCTGCTACTTCTCCCTTCTCTGCCTCAGCTACAGAGTCTGGAAGAACAAAACACTCGCTTCCCTACCACACTAGCCACTGGATGGATCCCTTGTAGGAATCCTGTGAAGGGGTTGTCATAGGATACAGGCACAAGGGCAGTCCAAAGTATCAACAAATCAAGTTTATAAACCAACAAAAACATGCAAAAATCTTAAAATTATTTCCTTAGCACATCACACCATCTATAGAATAGTCTTGTAAAACCTTGACCCTGAATGTAATCAAGCATCTGGTGGTTCCACTTACAAGAAATACTGTGGACAGAGGAACACAATGAAAGACATAAAAAAGAAGCAAACAAATACATCCCAAATATAGGAAAGTACACAGACCAACGAACCTGGTTTCTACAACAAGTCAATACCAGAAGAGAATAAAGCGGAAGGGAAGACTCCCCTAGCTTAAAAGAGATGAGACATAACCAGCTATCATATGTAGACCTTGTTAAGACCCTGATTTGAACAAAACAGCTATTAAAAAACATTTCTGAGATAATCAGGGAAATTTATTATTGTCTGGGTATTAGATGATACCAAAGAATTACTGATTATCTCATTAGTCCATTTTAAAAGAAATATATACTGAAATATATAGGCATCAACCAGGCTCGGTGGCTCAGCCTGTAATCCCATCCCTTTGGGAGGCTGAGGTGAGTGGATTGCCTGAGCCCGCGGGTTCGAGACCCACCTGGGCAACTTGGTGAGACCTCATCTCTACAATAAATAAAAAATTAGCTGGACGTGGTAGCGTGCGCCTGTAGTTTCAGCTACTTGGAAGGCTGAGGCGGAAGGATCGCCGGAGCCCAGCAGGTTGAGGCTGCGGGCTGGGAGCGGCCACTGCACTCCAGTCTGGGCGACAGAGTGAGACTCCAACTCAAAAAAAAAAAAGAAATATATAGGCATGTGTAGTAAATTAGACTGCTGTTTAGAAATATTCTCTTTCATGTTCTCCAATCCTGCTAGAAGACCACAGTGTATCTCCTTATCCCTTGACTTTGGACTTGGCCATGTGACTTGCTCTGGCTACCAGAATAAGGCAGAAATGACAGTGTGCCAGTTCTAAGCCTCAGCCTTAAGAGATATCCTTACATGTGTCCACCCCTTCTCTTGACCTCTGTCATCACCATGAGAACACGCCTAAGCTAATGAAACAAAAATTCTCTCCACCAGCAGAGTGTTGCCAAATAAATATTCATGGCATTGGCTTTGGACCCAGGCTACAACAGTTGAGGAAACTTGTAGGAGGTTAGAAAAATGGTGATCTGGGTAATGTAGTGGTGAACATTTGATAAAACTGTTGCTGGCAGGAATTCAGAAGACAGAAAATGTACCTAATGAGTCTGTGGACCTGGGCAAGATGGTTTCCAGGCAGAAGGATGAAAGTGTGAGCACATTCATTTTAGTTACATATAATAAGGTACCATACAAAAGTGATGAGCTCAGGAAAAAAAATCAATACAGTGGGAAATAACATGCTATCTTGGATCTTCTTTAAAATATTTTTGGAAAGAAAAGTACAACAGAGATAGATTAAGCAAATATGGCAAATGTTAACTGCATGATGGGTAGTGTAAATGGAGGTTCATAATACTATTAGCCATTTTTGTGTTTTTTCATAATTTTTTTAGTGATTAAAGGAAAATCCTCATTCCATGCTATGATAGTCTTTTTGGTGGGTCAGCTTGGCTAGGTACAGCCCCCAGTTATTGAAGCAAGCACTAATCTAGCACTGCTGTGAAGGTATTTTGTAGATGTGATTAAAGTCCATAATCAGTTGACTTGAAGTGAGACTATTCTAGATCATCTGAGTGGGCCTGACTCATCAGTTGAAAGGCCTTAAGAGCAGAGTTGAGGCTTCCCTGGAAGAAGAAACTCTTCACGTAGATATCAGCTTCAGTCTGTGAACAAGAATTCCAGCCTGTCCTTCTTGATGGACTATCCCATGGATTTTGGATTTTCCTACTTAGCCCCTACAATAATATAAGCCAACTCTCTATGAAAAACCTCTTAATATTTATCTCCTACTGGTTCTGCCTTGCTGTTTGAACTCTGAACAATACATTCCCATTAAAATCTTGCTGTGGATTTGAACTTCACCAGTGCCACTCAGAGTATGGCCATGTCCATGCTAACCGTACACTCAGATGCTGTGACAATATTAAATTTCTATAAAAGTTTCTGAATTATTTGAAAGGGTGAGATCACATGGAGTGACATTAGCTAAAGAACAGTCACTTTAACATTGCTTAAACTTTGTCATACTTTGCTAGCTGTTTGTTCCATTTCCCATTTCCTAATCATTAACTAAGGACAGAACCAGTTTTTTGGAGCTAGCTATTGATAATTATTTTGCAACTCTCAAATATGTCTTATACTGATTACTTCTCTATTTTAGGTATTTGTTTTCCAGCCTATACAAGGCCTAACTGACCTAATCATAATCAGCCTCTCGTGACTGCCCACCAGAGGCTGAAGTCCCTGGAGTCACAGGACTAGTTGCCCTGACAATGCCAAGGACACAAGACCAGTGTTGTCAATACTGAGGAATGCAGATGCTGGAGACTTTTTTTTTCCCTACTCTCCTTGCTAAAACTTTAAAAGCCTTCCTTCCTCAATCCCTGAGACCACGCTGCCTCTTAGTTTCAGTCCCATTCTCCCTTGAGTGGAATAAACTCTTTTGCTTTGTCTTTGCAATTCTTTGCTTTATTCCTGTGGCACCAGTCCACCCTGCCTCAGTTTACTCTAACACTCTTACTCTTGATTCTGTCCTTATCTCTCATGGATCAGTGACAGGCAGATCATGAACTAGTACTGGACATGAGTCACACTAAAAACAATATCAAACTAGACATCTTGGCATCTGAGTCTATTTCTTCATTTCTTTTTTTTTTGAGTTGGACTCTCACTCTGTCACCCAGACTGGAGTGCAGTGGCCTCTCTCAGCCACTGCAGCCTCGACCTGCTGGGCTCCGACAATCCTTCCGCCTCAGCCTTCCGAGTAGCCGGAATTACAGGCATGCGCTACCATGCCCGGCTGATTTTTTTATTTATTGTAGAGATGAGGTCTCGCTGCCCAGGTGGGTCTCGAACCCGCGGGCTCAGGCAATCCACTCGCCTCAGCCTCCCAAAGGCGCGGGATTACAGGCTGAGCCACCGAGCCTGGCTTTATTTCTTCATTTCTAAGAGGGAGATATACCATCTACCCACACAGTGGTTGTAAGCAAGAAAGATAGAGTACCTAATACACAGTAGTCACTGAAATAATGCTGACCTCCTTTCAGAAAATAGAGGTGCCTGGTTCCTCAGAATGAACATGATATTTAAAGAGAAAGGAACCTTAACTTACCTGGAACTTGATCATACTGTCTTCCTCTTGGAAAGTACAGGATTCTGGAAAAGTAGAACTACAAAAAGAAAGAATCCATGAGACCATGGATTCAACAAGTGGTGAATGAATATTTGCTCCTTCTTATCTGTACAATTTTCTCACACCTTCTCTCCCAATATGTTTTCTCTTCTCGCTCTCAACAGACTGAACTCCTACCTCCTTAAGACTTTCCCCACCCTGATCCTAATCCCAGGCCCTTGTGTAGCTCTTATCTGCATCACTGAGATTTTGAGTCAAAATCTGCAATTTTTCCTTTTCTCAGACTTGTAAATGGATTGACTTCACCTACAACCTAATTACACTGGAAAGAGGCTCCAGAATTTGGAGAGAGAATTCAGAATGGCAGGATCCTTTCCCTGCTTCCACTTTTGCATGCAAGACCTGGTCCTGTATGGCTGGGGCCTGTGGTCTAAAGAACTTGCAGTTAGCCGAGACCTTAACTCTTGGCTTCCAAAACTCTCTCTCAAGCACTCATTGTATTTCCTGAAGCTCCACTGCTTTTGCAAATATCGACGACATATCTATGACATGTAAGGCACAGTCTCTGCTTTGGAAACACTCACAGTATACTGAGCTACAAACTTTCTCTGAATGCCAGTAGACTGAAATAGTAGACAGAGACCCTGTGTATCACTTCATATACATTTAATGTCCTTCCTTTCCTGATTATCAGTGGATTCCCTCATTCACTAGCTTTTTTTTTGTGTGTGTGTGTGTTGGAGTCACTCTGGAGTGCAGTGACACATTCACGGCCACCCCAGCACTGACCTGCTGGGCTTGGGCAATCCTTCTGTCTCAGCCATCCAAGTAGGAGGAACTACAGGAGTGTGCTACCATACCCAGCTAATTTTTTATTTATTGTAGGGACAAGGTCTCACTAAGTTGCCTGGGCTGGTCTCGAACCTGCAGGCTCAGGCAATCCACCCGCCCTGGCCTCCCAAATTGCTAGGTGCTGGGATTACACGCTGAGCCACCAAACCCAGCCCATTCGCTAGCTTTTTAGGTTGGGTTCAGCCAATGGGGAAAGCCAGCAAGAGATCCAGGAAAGGAACTAGAGTGAAGTAAGAATATTTATCTCCCCAGCTTTTTCTCTGGAGGTTGCTTTAGACAGGTTATGTTCCATATCCCTTGACCAAAGTTCATGGCCGCTGTCAGGACGCTCTCATCTCATAACTCTCTTCAGGTTCTGATAACAGCCCCCTCCCTTAGCCCTTCAGTCCTAGGGGCAGTAAATTATCTTGCTATTACTAGCTCTGGGATATTGCAAGATCCTTTGTTGATTACCACAGCCTATCTACATCTTTGTAAATTATCCCTTCCAAGTTATGCGATTTGAGTGTGCTGTTTATTTCTTGCTGGGATTCCATCTGATAAACTCTATAAACACAGTTGCCTCTGGCCTTTGCAGATAAACTTACTGTATAGAATTGTCACTATGGGCACTGTGAAAACTCTGAAGATTAAAAAATAAAAGCCAAAAACCACATCTCTGCCTTCTCAGAAAGTGCTTCTCAAACGATCTGTGGTAAAGGATCAGTTTTTATCATTACCACTTTTGCTTTCAATTTGACATGACCTGAAATTTTGGTAAGATACAGTAAAAAGAAATTACTAGAAAGAAGGAAATTTAAAAGGTGTACAAATTAAAGTCCAATTTCTATTATTATATTAGTTAATATAATAATAAAAGTATTAAATGTTTACACTCAAGTCCTGAAATTATCTGGTCACAGACCAATAACATTTCATTTTCCCACTGATACCAGTCCAAGGGCTACCCTTTGAGTTGCAGCTCACAGGGTTCTAGAATCAGTTTAATAGGATACGAATGTCTTTTTGGTAAATCCTTGGACTCTTTTCTCTCCTTTCTTGCCTTTATGAAAGAGCATTCATCACTCCTTATTTTGGACTCCAACAGAGATTTGTTCAATTCATTCTTAGTACAGCACTAACCACATAGTTTAAATAATAAAAATCTACCAAAGAACACCCCTCCTTTCCCTTGTCAAAAAACTACCAATCCTGAAAAAATAACCAAGTCTTGTCTTTTATCCGCTGTACCTGGTAAAGATCCTGCCATTTAGCAAGTATTCAGTCAGTACTCCTTGATGTTAACACATGCACCAATAAAATCAGCTCTGATACATTAGAGGTATGAGCAAAGACACAAACACACCAGGCTCTCCACTACCAGAACCTACTCTCACCTAAGAGCCAACAATGGGATAGGTTTATTTGCGCATGCACACACACACACACACACACACACACACACACACACACACACACACAGGCTGGAGGGTTGGTTTCCTGGATTTGGGGGTTCAGGCCCTCCCTGTCTGTATCAAGGCAGAAACCCTGGCAGGAAACAGATGATAGTTCAAATTCGAGGGGAGTTTAATAAACAGACTACCTTCAATGGTATAGACTGGTTGTTAGGAAATCACAGGAGTAATCAGAAGTGATTGGGAGGTACCATCACTACACCTGGGCCTGAAGGGATAAGGGGAGGGAAGAGTCACTAGAGCCTGAGACAGAGGGAGCTCTGTGGAACTCCCAGGAATTGTGCCCTTTCCTTGAGAAATGTAGCCAGTCTGCGACAACCCTGCAGAGAGAGAATTGGGGGACTAGGTAACCAACTCACATTTCTTCCTCTCTCCAAACTCTCCTGCTGAGACCTCCCATTGGTCAAAAGCAACCAAGGCCAGAAAGCAATGGCATCTTCTCAGGGAAGAGAGCAGGGTAGAAAAGGCAGAGAGTAGAATCAGAGATGGGAAACCAAAGATATGTGGCAGAGCACATCTTGTTCCTTCTCTCCCTGCCAAGTCTGCCTCGCTGTCTCCCACAAATGCCTCTCTCATCCCTCAACCTGATAACTACTCTGATCTGAGTCACTGCTTCAGGAATGAGACCAGGTGCCCACATCAACCTCTTGGAGTGAGGGCCTAGAGAGAAAATGCAGCTGAATCTGGAACTGCAATTGCCCAGAAACATAGTCAGAAATAGAAGTCCCAAGTCCTCCCTCAAATTTAGAAAGATGCCTGATTCTTTCTAGAAGTTCTCAAGGCCACAGAAATGGGGAGAGAGAGTAACCTGAACTCTTCAGATGTACCTAGCAACTCTGTGTAATCATCTGGGAAACAGGATGAAGATCATTTCTTTTGTGTGTGTGAGTGCAAAGGTCTTGTGGTCATGTCAAAGTTGTACATCTGTGGTCTGTGAGTATCTGAGTCAAAGGAATATACAAGATTAGCTTCAACCCCAAGGGCCTATGGCAGGGCTGCAGACAGGGCTGCCCCTAGTCCATGCAATGTTTTTGGACAAATTAGAAAAATGAATCCCTTCCTCGAAGTACTCTTCTTCCTCCTGTTAGAAACTCATTACACTGATTTTGCTGGAACAAGGCACTTTGACCACTATCTGTAGAAAAATTGTGTGACTGTGTTCTACAATGTGAATGGCACACCTTAGATGTGGTCCCCTTGTGCAGGATGCAACCTGCAAAACTGTGCACTGCAGCCCTGACCCTCAAAAAAGTCTGTCCAAAAACCTAAGGCTAGTGATACATGGCTGTGTGCATGTGACAAAACCTAACACTATCTGGTTCAAGTGACTTATGAAAGAGTTTTTCCAATGACCTTTCCATATACTGCATCCATGAGCATCATTCCCTTGTAGTCAGATCATTGAATCTTATATCCATAACCATTTCACATTGTACTGTATTTTTCTATATTATTATTATGTATTATTTCCTCTCCTATAACATGGACTTGTTCCTTGTGAATAGAGACTGTGCTATTCATGCACATGTGGCAAGTTGGAGCATGGGCTAGGGGCCAAATGAATGAATGAATGGGAATTCGGGGTCTTCATCAAGCTTGGTTTTTAGACTGAAGAGGCCAGGTTCTGAGATAAAGAGTAAGGAAAACTTCCATATTTGGCCCATTCATTGAGTGCTAATTCTAAAAAAAAGACAGAAGAGCCCAGCTGTTAGGATAGAGGCCTCTGAAATCAAACTGCCTGGGTTCACAGCTTGGCTTTGTTACTCATTGGCTGTGTACCCTTGGGCAAACTATCTCCTGGTGCCTTAGTTTCTTCAGCTGCACAAGACAGGATATTGAAACTGCATTTCGTAGTGTGGTTGTGGTAATTCAAAGAATTATGACACGTAAAGGGCTTAGAGCAGTGCCTGGCCTACAGTAAGAATCCAAAAAAAAAAAAAAAAGTTGGTTATTATGCAGCAGGCTTCAGATATATAAGTAAGTCCTTCATTTGAAGGAAGACAGACTAGGGGCACAGACAGGCGAGCAAATTAGCTCACTGGAATGCGAGAAATGCTGCAACAGACATTCCACAAAACTGTACAAAGGCATAGGGAATAGGAAATCAGCACATCCCTAGAGGGGTCCAGGCAGCCAGTGAGAAACCCGCAATAGAGCTGGAACTGATGCCTTAAGGAAGTAGTAGATGCTCGCCAAGCTGACAAGGAAGGAACAGATAATGGACAACAGAGGCTATGTGGGCAGAAGGATGGATGTGAGAATGAATTCTGTGGCCCAATCCACGAATGGGAAGCACCTGGGTCTGGACCAGAACACAGGGATCACAAAGCAGAATGGCTAACATGATGCCGGAAACACCACCAGGGACCAAATCCTGAAGAATCTTGGATGCCATGCTAAAGAGTTCGAAGACATTGTTGCTATTACTATTATTATCCTTCAGGTCTTGGTTTAGACATGACTTCCTCCAGAAAGCCTTCCTTGATAACCCCTACTACATTAGGTACCTACTGTGGTTAGCACCTCTCCCATCACAGCACTAACCTGTGGTTTCTTTATTATGTTCCGACTCTGGTTACAAGCTCAGAGAAGACAGAAGGACTACATTCCTTCATTCAACACATATTTATTAAGTGCCGACTGTATGTCAGGCAGTGATCTGGACACTGAGGATACGGCAGTGATAGTACAGAGAAGAGGGGAAAAAAAGGGAGAGGAGTGGAGATAGAGA